AGACTTGTCAAACTGTGCCGATGATCGATTTGACACGCCAACTTAGTCAACTTCTGGATACGGCCTACATCCTGCGTGCCACTGCCACTGCCACTGCGTTGCCAATCGCTTTAGCAGCGCTTTTTAGCCTAAACGCACCAAACAGCAAATACAGCTGTCTGGTATCTGCGAGCGGGGCGATCCGGAAGATATGCATCTGCCAGGTTGTTGGTAGGCGTCGACACCCGAAAAGGTGTTGCCAAATTATGCTAATTAAATTAGATACTTGGCATTTTGTGGGTTTTTAGCCACCGAGCCGGGAAATTAGCATAGAGCGGCAATAATGATAATGAAGATGCCGATGCCGATGCCTAACGTGTTAATCGACCTAATGACGCTTAGATGCTTATTGCAAATTGATTTGGACGCCCACTAAAGGCAGTGAGTTATATCCAGAGACGCAGATATGGATGGTAATTTAAATAGCAGTAAAACCTCTTTGCAGAACTGGCTGTCTTGCCTTTCGATGACTAATAAGTGAAAAGTATCTGTAACGATTTCAGAAAGTTGTACAACATGGTGGACCAGGGCGGCGGCGGCGGCATCTTCAAAACCAGCTCAATAATAATCTTCGATTCCAGGAACCTAACATCAATTAAATGCGCAAAATGGCGCAACAAATCGAAATCTAATTAAATCAACAGAAGATAACATGCAGCTCAATTTTCCACACTCGCCGAAACCGAGGGAAAAGAGCAGAGCCAAGAAAGCTGCAATTTGATTTGGAAAAGTCGGCACGAGACCTTACCCTAGCCCCCTTAACGGGAATTGGACTTGAGGCCACAATCATAATCGCGGCAAGTTGGAAGCCATGAGACCCAGCACTTTGACATGTGCCGACGAAGGGGCTCCACCTGGGAATAATGGAGAATCACGCTGGCCAATTGTCACTTTTGGGAAAAATCAACAAAATCGAAATGGTATCAAATCGATTTGGAGATGCAACTGAAACTGAGGCATGGCTGAACATCGGGGAAATGCGTTTTTAATTAAAGGTAGAACCACGATGGTAGCGTTTGGCGTAGTAAGCCTTTGAATAATTATTTTTTATTTATTTTCCATTTCCATTTTCACATGGCCCAACAGACGATAATTTCGAAGATCGGTGGCGAGGCCGAAGTGCATAGCTAAAATGCATTTCGAATGCATTTATATTTACTATGGTAAATAAATCAAAACCACCGAAGCCAGAGGGAAAATTCCTGCTCTCTTGCACGAATGCATGTAGATTATTTATATGTTTTTTGAGGTTGGAGTACATAAGTATGCCCTGAGCTGCATCATCCTCAAAGGATTGATGGCGTTTCGTGATTATTTCATCTATGACTGCATATTGGAGCGGTATCTGGTTAGGGGCTGGACATGCTAATATTTCAATGTCAAATTAGTTGTAATCGTAATGTGATAAAACATGAATTATTTCCTGCCACGGATGAGGTAGGACGCAACCGAGCTGCATCGAAAAGGCATTTATTCCGAAAAGCTTAGCAGGTCGAGTCGCAGTCTAAACTCACTCAGGATCCAGATAGCGCTCTCTTGCTCGTGGAGAGGGATCCGATCCGATCATGACGATCGATTTGGCCGTGTCGAACTGAGTCGGCGAAACCCTTTTATTGGGCAATATGTGCAGGCGTCATAATTACAATCATTGACATCGCACCTCTCAGGGCCGCCGCGGCAGGTGCTAAACGGGTTTATGGCTTAACGCCAAGCCAAGCGCTGGCTGCCCCATCTAAGATCTGGAGGAATCGGAGCAAAGGAATCGAGGCTAAGGAATCAAGGCAAAGAAATCGAAGCCATATCAGAAGGCGATCAGTGTGTGTGAGTCGGGATCGATTCGGAATTAACAGGAATGCGATAAACGAAGGCGCTTCGCCGTGGGCAATTAGGCTGGATATTCCTCTTCATCTTCATCGCGATCAGCATTCGCTCCCTCGGATTCAATGGATTCAAGGAATCCGTACATTTCAGCGACTGTGACCGAGTCCCGAATGCATTATTTACGACTGCACCGCCGACGCGGGCTGTTAGAATTCACACTTCGATGGTGGCGGTGGCGGCGGCTTGGGTGTCCGAATCCTCCCCTAACTTCCTCACACCACTCAACTCCACTCCCCTGCTCGGATCTGTTCACACTTTTGCCGACAAAGCGCCGCAAACGAAGCTGCATGGAAAGTGGAGGGGGAAACCACAGATCATGCTCATAATGGCATTCTTTGTGCGTCCAACCAGAGTCAAGCGGTCCTCGGGCGATATCCTTTTGCCGCGTCATCCCGCACAGCACTCCTGATTGGCTGGCTATGGGGTCCTTCAGTGACTCTCTCTCTCTCTCTCCTGGACTCCTTGCCAACTGACACTCTGCATTTCTGGGGGCGGCCACCGATCACACATTATTAATTCGTTTTTAACCGTTCCGAAGGAGTGATATATTTGTACATATTACTCTTCTCACCTCTGCGGCGGCGGCCAACTGGCCCCGATCCCGATTCCGATCCTCCGCTGCCAAGTAGCCGCCTTAATTAATCATCTCCGTTTCTGTTTCTGGGATTTGGCTTTCAGCCTGGAGCCCGCTGAAGCCAGGCCAAGCCGCCCCTTTGTGGTAACATTTGCTGTGTAAACAGTTGCGGTTGAGTTTTAATTTAGTTTTCTTGTTTCGCTGCCACAGCTGTTGTTGTTGCCCTGGGCTCCAGCTCCAGCTTTGGCCTAAGCTGACATATGGGCGTTAGTGGTAATTTCTCAGCGGAATTTATTGGGAGCGTTTTGGGAGTCATTAGCCGAGTGTTTCGGACGGGGTCTTCATTACACACTAATACACGATGCTTATGAAAAATTATGCCCGCCTTTTGGTTAGTGGCTTCAATCGAGACGTCTTTCGAGTGGGGAAAAGAAAGAAATGCCTGTAAAAATTGAATTCCACAGCATTTTAGGGCCATCACTCAAGTCAATTCCTTCGGCCGCAGTCAGCCGTTTGTCTGCCTTTTCCGCAAATGAATTTTCCAGTTCGAACTGATACTCGACAGCTAGGCAAATACATTGACTGCCCCCCCTGGCCTCCTGTCTGCTTCTGGCTAAAGAAAAATATTAAAAAATTCCCACAAAAATGCCAAAGTCAAATGGGAGAAAAGTATTTCGTCCTCGACTGGAGCTGAGTCTGGGTCTGAGGCGGGGGCCATTTATTTCAAACAAATAATGTATATCGAAAAGCTGGCGGCTTTGTGGTCCAGGTCAATGCGAAAGTGAACAGAGCTGTACAGCAATATATAGCTGCAGATAATAGAGACTCCGAGCGAACACTTGCCATTTGAATTCCAATGTTCGAGACGGGCACAGATTCATCATTCCCGCTGACACACACGGTCCGTATCTGAACTGAATCCGAAACCGAATCTGCGGCGACTTTGGCAATCGCACAGTAGCAGTTTCAGTTGTCAAACGATTTGAGCGATTGCCTCGAGGCGAAGCCACACACCGAGCGTGGCGACCGGGCGAACAATAGTCCCGCAATTATTGCCAAATGGCACATATTCAGCGCTCAGCGTCGCACCCACGCCGAAAGCATCTTACAGATACAGATACAGATACATTTACAGATACAGAAACAGACACAGAGACACCTCGCCCCAAACAACAGTGGCAACAACTCAGTCCGTATCTCCACACATTGTTCAGGTCCCCAGCCTTGCCTTGGCTATGATGCCGCATAATTTCAATGCTCGCACACGCGGCGTATACGCAACATGGCCGAAACTTCTTTGATTTTGGCCGACACTCGTGGCCAAGAGCACTCGCACTCGCACTCGCTGGAAATCAAGCAAAAGTCATGCACTCGGAAATGGAGTTTACTTTTTCTTTTTCCTCTTCCTTTTTGCTCGTGCGAAAATGTTTTTGTCAGCTTCCCACTCGTCCGTTCACACATATTAGTGGCCGTTCCGAGTCTCTTTCTCATGAATATTAATTTTGGCTTTTGTTTCGGCTGGGGGTATGGGTCTGGGTGGCCCCTGGCTGCCTCTAATTAATGTAGGCTAACAGCAACGACTCTGCTTGGCTCGGTAATTGAATCACAGCTGCGAAATGAACTTTTAATGAAGCGTGTTGCCGAGTTTAACCATAAAACATAGTGCCGGAATAGAGTCCTTTGTAACTGGCTTTAAGGCACTTGTGCCTTCGAATCAATTGAACGGACTCGTTTGCCAACTGAACGGGAAAATCCCTCATGGGAGGGGCCCAGACACGTGTACCAGAGCCCCCCAGGAACTCCCACCCAGTTCCCAAGGCCACTGGGGCATGGAATGCAAACGAAATGCGTTTCATGGCCTGTCTGGGCGAGGTATGGCAAAGAGCTCTTTGGGCTTAGAACTTTTTGCATTCCTCTTTTCCTGCCGCCCCACAATCACTCAGAGCCTTGAATTGAGCCACAGTATTTGCTGCTCTACGGATTCCATAATAGAAATCTATTTCTGTGCCGGCACGAGGGGAAAAACTGTTTGTTTGCGAAGGTGGCAGTGGAAATTGTGCTAGTAATGTGATTACGATATGCGCAATCAACTCGGGCAGTGAGTATGAAACATAGAAAATCCAGGAGACTCGCATAACTCCAAATTAGTGAAGAATAAAATAAATAATCAGCAGCTCTAACCCACTCCACAGAGCCAGAGTCAGGGCAGGGAGGAATACGAGTCGAAATTCAGCTCGGTTTTCCGAAGGCGGAGCTAACGAAATTGCAGCCATGCTATGAAAACCTCACTCTCGTTCTCTGTCACTCTGTTTCGACTGAGCTGCTCTGGCACACACACGGAGCCGGGACAATGCTGCTCTGCTCTGGCCAACCGACAGATCGCCATCTCTCGCTCTCGCCGTTGCTGCAGCAGCTCTCGGCACAACTGCTCGCACTTCCACCCTCGCCGCACCGGTTCTCCCGGCTGACCGAAAACTCGTTTTCCCAGGCCCGGAGAATCTCACGAATTCGTTTTAGTCTTGCGGCTGACCGTCTCAAAATCAGTTTCGAGCTGTCAAGCAAACGAGCAGCATCACCTCTCACAGCGCCTTCGAAAATATTCTAACCTGCGTGCATTTCGGGCAACTGTGTGTGAAGATCGTACAGAAAAACTATAGCAAGTGCTACCCAAAACGAACCACGGATTATCCCAAGTCGACAGAAGAAGACATGGCTGTTTCGGCTATCAACATGACACCCTACTTTGCCGGATATCCCTTCCAAGGTAAGCACATAAATCGATATCGAAGGCAGATCGTAGGGCACAGATCGCAGATCCATAGATCACAACGAGCATTACCAATTACCACAATTACGAGTACAAAACGTCAGGCCAAGCTGGAAAAGTGCTGGCTCATCATTCGGCCAGCGCTTTCGCCCGCTGTTTTCAAACGAGAGATCATTACCCGTCCGGCAGCATGATCAGCTTTTATTGATTGTGATCGGGCCAGGCCCAGACCCTGTCCCAGTCCCAGTCCCAGCCCCAGACTCAAGCCCGGACTTTGCAGACTTTTTGGCGCGGCCAGCTCATGGCTCGTCTCTCTTGCCCCGGCGGCTTTGGGCGCTGGGCTTTGATCTTGGATCGACTCCGATCCCGGGACCCGAGACCTGGTATCACGTAGCTGGCAACGTCAGCGCCCCAAACACCAGTCCCTGTCTGCACATGGTCTGGGATTTTATTTCTCTTTTCGGCTTTCGGCTTTCGGCTTTTGGCCGTGTTGTGTTTGGTGTTTTTTGGGGCAGGCACACACACACTTGTGCTCATATTAGCCGGCACAGCTGGGCGTCTCTGCAACGCTTATGGATTATTAGTTTGATTTCATTGCATGAGCCGGCCTGGGATGCAGCTGCATTCCCGGCCAGATCGGCTTTCTATTCTCTTCACATAAAAAAAAAAGGCCTACGCAAATTGCCAATTTGCGTTTTGTTGTGTCTACAAATGGCCAACGAATCGTTTGTGTCCGTACGCAACAAAAGATCGTGCCAAGTGATCCTCGGGCTTATCCTGCTTAGAGCGATCCGAACGCAAGGCAGTGAAGTGGTCACTGCCGCTCAATTGGGCACGAAAAAAAAGTTAATTGAAAGATCTTGGGCCCGAAAATAAGGCCACCAGCAAGCGCACTTGAGCCGTAGTAAGATTATCATGGAAAGAGGGATTACCAGAGATCTCCGATGGCGCACATTTACTTATCTCAATTTCTGCTTCTCTTTTGCTTCTAGGACAAGGTCGCGTCAACCAGCTTGGCGGCGTCTTCATCAACGGGCGTCCACTGCCCAATCACATCCGCCGCCAAATCGTGGAGATGGCAGCCGCCGGAGTTCGGCCCTGCGTCATCTCCCGCCAGCTGCGCGTGTCCCATGGCTGCGTCTCGAAGATCCTCAACCGCTTCCAGGAGACAGGCTCCATCCGCCCGGGTGTGATCGGCGGCAGCAAGCCGCGCGTGGCCACTCCCGACATCGAGGCCAGGATCGAGGAGCTTAAGCAGTCGCAGCCCGGCATCTTCAGCTGGGAGATCCGCGCCAAGCTGATCGAGGCCGGAGTCTGCGATAAGCAAAGCGCCCCTTCAGTGAGTTCCATTTCACGTCTGCTGCGCGGATCCTCCGGATCGGGAACCTCTCACAGCATTGATGGCATCCTTGGCGGAGGTGCTGGATCAGCTGGTAGCGAGGACGAGAGCGAGGACGATGCCGAGCCCAGTGTGCAGCTAAAGCGGAAGCAGAGGCGTTCGCGTACCACCTTCTCCAACGACCAGATCGACGCCCTGGAGCGCATCTTCGCCCGCACACAGTATCCCGACGTATACACTCGCGAGGAGCTGGCTCAGGGCACTGGACTCACCGAGGCCCGCGTCCAAGTGTGGTTCTCCAACCGTCGTGCTCGTCTGCGCAAGCAGCTAAACACCCAGCAAGTCCCTGGATTCGCTCCCACAGCCGCTTCATACGGAGCCACTTCATCCGCCGCCTCTGCCGCTGCCACCGCTCCCAACATGGGTCTGTACAGTTCCCAGTCCTGGCCGACTTCGGGAGCTGCCTATGAGACCCATCCCGGCTATGGAGGCTCGGTTGCCTCCATGTCCCCCGCCAGCAGCACCTCTGGCAGCAGTTCCGCCGCCCACAGTCCGGTGCAGTCCCAGGCTCAGCAGCCAGGTGCCAGCGGCGACTTTATGAACCCCACCTACGGCATGGGATCAGGCAGTGCCGCTTACTCTGCCGCCAGCGCCTCTGCCTATTCCATGCCCAGTGCCGCCACAGCTGCCACATCCGCCGAGCAGCTTCGTTCCCAGTTCGCTTCCGCTGCCGCTTCTGGCTCTCACCATCCCTCGTCGTGGGATAGCTACAACTTTGCCGGCTCCTTCTTCCCGCCCTCGGCAGCGGCACCCAACCACATGGGCGGATACCACCACCAGGTCGACCAGAAGAGCTCCATGATGCCTGCCGCCCCCACCTATCCCTACTTTGGATTCTAAGCGCTTCACTCTCTTTATATAGTACTTTAAGCCTAGCAATAAGTTGTCATCTAAAGACCCGAAGACTGTTTAAACCTATTTCGAATATTACTTTAAGGATCATGTTTTTGTAGATTTAAGAGGAGCCGATAATCAAAAGAATAAAAATTGAAATTAAAAATTTAAAAAACAATCATTATTTTTTTATAATTTGGGGGAAACAAATTACTTGATAAACTGGGAAATAAAGTATTCTATACAAAAATATTCTATATTCTATAGGTAGGAACAGGTCTTAATAAATTTGAAACAGAAACCAAGAAGACAACAACCAAGTTTAATAAGAACTTTATTTATATTCTCTTCTGGAATAAAAACCTTTTATAATACATATATTTAAATCTTTAGCTCCATGATCGACCACGCATGCTAGATTTAATAAATTTTTAAAGATTTATAAAACGGCATCTTAGAATATCCCCGTGTAAAAACGTGGGTTTCAGTTTTAAATAGGATTTCGTAGCCTTTGTGACATTAAATTGATCCCATTATTGCATTGAGACACAACAGAGACAAACCTCTCACACTCCATTAGAGTCTAATGACATTGTCTCCAAAGATCCTGGACCACACACAGGACCTCTTGTGGCCATGTACATGCGGCAGGGCCCTGACAGGTTCACACAAGCAAGCACAAGCAACTATAATCCCTCAAAATAGTTTAGGAAATTGTCCCTAAAATGACAGGAGGACAATGTACTAACATGTCGATCGCCCATCTATCCCTCGTCGTGACTAGATGGCGGCGGATCCTGGGCGAGGGCGGGGGCACTCTCCTCTGACATGGCCAGACAACAAGCCGACTCATGATCTGACAATTAAACAATTAGAGACAAAAACGGCAAACACATTCAGTGCTGGATTCGATAATACGAGAATAATTTGGGACCTGGGCATTGTCCTGGGAGCCACACACATCGCTGGCAGCCAAATAGAGCAATTGACAATGGGATGCGCAAAATATGAGCACTGGACTCGGGCGACCACCAACGTCAGGACTTTAAAGATGCCGCCAAAATGTGGGCCTGGCCGAAGATGAGAGGACCCGAAAAACCGGCAAAGTGCACACGGGAGTGAACAAAGCCATTGACAAAATGACAGCGAGGGAGGGCAGGACCTACTTGTACGTTCAACTAGTCCTTCCCCATGCACGCTGCACTAGTTACGTCCTTTGGATGGTGCTAGCCATAGCCGTAGGTAGGAAGATCTCGCATCTCGACTCTTGGGCCTCGGTGCCCTTTCTTCAGGACCTTCCCGCTGCTCTCAATTATGTGTGCTCAGCGGGCGTCGCACTTACCACCTAGAATGAATACGTTCTCCGGCCGTCAGAGAGCCCGAAATGAAAACATCAATTAGTTCATATCTCGGGTCCCGAGGATCGGTAGAGTCCTGGTCCAGCCACGACGACAGGTTCGTGATACTCTGTCTCCCTTCCGCACACAGTGCTAGGGCAAGGCTGTGACAATCATAATTGATCGCACATCTCGTCCTGGGGAGTTCCATCCTGCCTCTCCCGGCCTGTTTCCACTTTGTCATTCCCATGCCATACAGTAGCCTGCGGCTTCGTTTGTCCCGACGACGACTCTTATCCTGGACTGGGTCTCAGGCCCACCAACTTGGATATTTTTATACACAAATTAAATTTGTGCGGCCAGTCGAGGGCGATGCGATGCGAGTTCTGTAGCGGCACTTTGACAGAGCTGTTGAAAGGCCCTCCCGACACACCGAGATGAAAGCCGTGATTTATGCGTTTTCGATAGACGGGGCCCCGGAGTTGGGAGCATGCGAATTTGGTTGCCTTAAGCCAGACTTCCTGTGCGGTCGTTTTGGCTTAAATGTGTAGCTCCGGTAGCTGGAATCACTTTGAGACTGAATCCTGGTTATGATTGATGATCTGCCGAGCTGCTGATGTTCTCACCATGGAGCTATGATCATGGTTCTAACCTCCTTATTATAAGTAACAAATCGAAATTGCAACCGTTAATTGCCACCGATCTGCAGCGTTAATGCAACGATCCGTTAAAAGCCACCGTTCGTCCACTGATAAATTATAATACAATTTTCAAGTGTTGACGTTTTCGGAATTTTCCGCCAATTTTTCACACACTCATTTGCTTGTTTCGAGCCGCACGCCGAAAAATATTTATCATATATTCATTAAAAATTATTTACGTATTAAATGGCGCAGCCGGAAAGCAACAACAACCGTGCCGAAAGCGGCAGCTATACATAGTATGTGCATGTGCGAGTATTCACTTCCATGAGAGCCATGAGCAGCGAGCGTTGATAAAACATCAAAACCAATCTGATAAGGAACGCTTTAAATTCCGTTACGTAACGCAAATTTAGAGCATATCTCTCGGTGTGTTGTTTCTGGATCGCTGTGTGGCATCGCGAGGGCTGATTCTGACTTTGGATGCGGTTCGTCTTCTTTTTGGGAGGAGGGTTCCCGCTGCTCGGAAACCGCTGCAGGGCAATTACGCGTGAATTTTGATCGATTCGCGTTGAAAATTTGATAAGTCGAGTGTTTGAGTTACGCATGTGAGCTTTTAATCAACCCGCAGCCTGAGCTGCTACGATGTCTTTATTATGAAAGGGTTCACTTTTTCGGCAGGTGTCTCCCCGAAATCGTTTCCTTTCTAACGGGTTCTGAAGCCTGGTTATGAACTTGAGCCCGGCTCCTTCAAACCATCTAATCATAGTCTCCGCCAATGTCTTTATATGCCACTAAAAGCCCCACAACGATCGATTCCACAAAGTCTGCAGTCTCTGCCTGCAAGCCACAATCAATGACGTCGATGGAGATGCCGCTGCGGCAGCCGCAACTAAATAACATTATAATTCAATAAGAAACCCCCAGACCGGGAGGAGCCCTCGACTGGGCCCAGAAGATCGACTGAGTAATGGCAATGCAGCTGCGAGTCGATTGCGATGCAGACTGGGGCCAATTGGAATGCACAGGAAAAAACTAGTGCTCATTATTGAATTTATATATATATTATAAACTATTTTTTTAAGGTTTTAAGTAATATCCAAAAAATAGAGAAGATTGTTTCTATATAACATGCAGATTTGGCTTAGTTATGTTCGAATTCCATAGACTTTGGCTTCCCCAGGTTGGATTCCTTTCATGTTAAGACATACTTTTAATATACAAATTGTTAAAATTCCTCTCCACACACATCTTTTCTTGCTGTGTAGCGTTGAAGCGGCAGCAGCCAGCCTGTCTGCACCGGCAATGCGAACAAATTGTTGTTATTGCCGCTGATGCTGGCCAGCAATTGCAGAAATCATCAGAGCGGCCTGCAACATGTAATTTCCATCTCCGATGGTGGCAGTTGCACTGTTGCAAGTGTCGGAGCGGGATGCCCGTCGGCGTTTCTTTGAGCTCTGAGCTGGGCAGCCGCCACTTGGCCATTTTAAGCAAGCGTAAAAATATGCACAAGCGTCAGCCGCAAGATTCGAAAATGTGGATCGCAGAAAAATGTGATTACAACGGAGTGCATTGATTATTTATTAAGCAATGCCAGTGCATTCGAGTGATCGTCGAAGGGCGATCGGCGATCGGTCTGAGCCTGAGTCTAAATCTGAGCCCAGCTTGATCAGGTTGCACAAATTGAATGTTATTTTACAAAATGCGCTCACGTAGTTAGTATACGTGCCGTTTGCGATGGCGACTGGCAGAAGATATGACCAATTCCGAGTCCTGTCCAGGTGAACCGATGGGTTCGGAGGCGACTCCGTGGAGTGGCATGGCGCGCGAAGATTCTTTGATCATTTTACGCTCATTTGCCGGCACACACACACACACTGGCACAGCCACTGACACCCGATGATCTTTAGCATATTTTACGCTCAACTTGTGATCAAACCGTAACTTTGGTGTCGTACCTGCTCGGCAGGACGGCACTGGGAGGGGATCGGGAAGTGGCCAGTGGGGGCCACCAGTGCGGATGAGTCATGAACCATTCGGCTGTACCATCCATCAGGGTAACTAGCCGGCTATGATATATTTGCATACTGGCATTGCTTGGGAAAGTTGGCGAGAGCAGTTCGAGGTGAACTCCGGCCTGGCTCTGGTTTTGGGTAGAGACGGAGCTGGAGCTGATGATGGAGCTGGACCTGGAGCTGAAGCTGGAGCTAGCGATGGCATTGCAATGCTTCTTGTTGCCCCGTTGTCTCTGTGCCATTTTTGCTGAACATCACTTTGCCTTGGCTTATATTTTATTATTTTTATTTTTATCTTTATTGCCATTGTTATTGTGCACGCTGGCAACGTTATTTTCTGTGTTATTTCCTAGCCAGGCACAGCTTTGTGCTTCGCTTTGATCTTTCGCCGAAGCCAAAGCCAAAGCCAATGCCGATTCCGATGCCGACCCGGCCAACTGGCATTAGTAATTGTAATTGTAGCCCCGTATTGTGCTCGTACTCGTACTTTCGAGCTGATTCGCTTACAGTTGTCTTCGGCTGCTTTTCTATTGGAACAAAAAGCGAGACAAGCGTTTGTTATTATGTCAATTGTTGGTAATTTCTAAAATTCAAAAGCTCTCGCTCTCGCCGAACACGTTTGCAGTCTGGAATTCCCCAATTTGCTACGATAAATGATTGTAAAAAGTGTTATGCCTTAAAAACATGGAGCTTTGATCCTAAAAATACCTTTTTGTGGGAACTACGACGCATTTCCACTCCATTCCATTTGGAACACCCCCAAGCACCAATAAATGCGGAGCATGCATGACTCTGTGAACGAGTGGAAAAACGAATTTCCACGACTTCCCCCTATACAAACAACCCAATCATTTAAATGAATTATATTTCGCGCCACGGAAAGTGATTCCCATGCCAGGGGAGGGCCAGGAACAATGTGCGAAAGGATGTGGCAGTTGAGGCCAATGGCCATCAGAACGCTGGAAGAGGGAAGTGGGTTTCAGGACAACATAGCCAGCACCACCACTGCCATACTGCCATCACCTAGCTGATAGGCGCGCAAATTGGCGTGAAGCGTGCAGAAATCACGGGGAAAAGGACAAAGACGGGAGCATTATTTTTCAACAGATCTAAAATGAAACATTTTTTGACACTTTCTGTGCTGCTAGCTGCCAGCTGCCCGAGCTGCCTAGCCCTACCCTGATCCCGCCAAGGGGAGGTCCTGGCAGGCCGTGCGCCCAAGTGTCAGAACAGGACGAGGTGACGGGGGAATGGACGACTGCAGCTTGCTTAGCGGAAAGATGGATTATTTTTACGCTTATTACGCTTCGATCTGCTCGGTGGATGTTTGCTTTTGGCGGTTATAAACGCTTGGTGTGACCGAGCCCAGGCTGAAGTTGTTCCCCGTTGGAAGGGTCCTTCCATTTGGTGGTTGAAAAAATCGTACATCCTCTGCTCCCCGTGGCAGCCATTATGAATTGCAACAATCCTTGCCAAAAAGGGAAGTCCGGAGGACGGCAGCCATTGCCACTAACCCTGGCGTCGTCTCTTAAATGCGTTTTACTTTATTTTTGGAAACCCACAAGTTAACGCAACGGGTTTCAAAAACGGGGTTTTAAGGAATATATAGACTTAATTCCGTAACCAGATCATCGTCACTAATAAGGAAATCAGTAATTACAATTCGGCACAGGGCTCACTGCTAACTGGAGACCCTTACTGGGCTTATCCTGGCCGGATTGGATGGCTGATCATTGATAATTTGACAATGACCAAAAAATGCGACTACAAGATGATCTGCAAGGTGGCAGTAATAAAAAGGCCCAGAGTAATGCCCCATGACCAAGTGGAATTGGTTTCGCCCAAGGAGGTGACCGGCCAAAGGTCCTGGGGGGAGGGCCTTACATTATGTCCTGGCAGATTCACATCTAAGATTGCGCAGTGCCCGCAGCCTAAGCTGAAAATCCAATAAAACCTAATAAATATTGCCAAACCGTGCAGGGCAGGATCAAAGCATGATCTTGACGTTATCCTGCGGAGATGAAGGTGCAAGAAATTGTGTCAGTGGCTCGCTCGGCAAATCCTTTCTGGCACAACATGACATGACTTTTGGCCGAGTAGGCGTTTACCCGACTTAGCACCCTCTCGGCCAACTAATCCGCTTTCGTTCGGCCTGCGGCAGGCGAACGGGATCAGTTCAGTTCCTGTTCGGTTTTTGGGTCCGTCTGATGTCTGAGTCTGATGAGTTCATCTCGTCGTGGTCCTCCTGCGGCCCTTGAACTTGGACGTCTTTAAATTCCCTTGCTTTTGTCGGTCTGCGGCCTGCGGTTGCTGTCGACGGTCTCCTGCGAGTATGTGTAACAAGTGCACAGGATAATCCGGTGCACACGCGCACCTCTTCGACGCATCCTCCTCCTGCCTCGAACTCGGACTCCTTTTCCATCTTTCCCACACGCCGCTTGGCCAAATAAATAAATTGTAATCTGCCTTTGTGTTTGATTTCAATCAAAATGCAGCCACGCCCCCGTTGTCTTGGTTCCTTCAGCTCATCTCTGGCCTTGGAGTCGGAGTCGGGTGCGAAGTCCCAAACTTAATCTCGGCCTGCGGCTGAGCCAACTCAACGTTTGACAACATGCCGTTTTCTTGTCTTTTTTCGCCCGCTTGTTTTTGTCCGCTGATCGCGCTGATCTATATAAGCGGATATTCGGATATACCGATTTCGGCAGAATTCCACAGAGACTTCCAAAGACACTGCCCGGCGGGGGAAGTGGCTTAGGCAGGCCTAGAAAATATTTTGGTTGATTTTTGATTTTGTGACAATTTATGGATTAACTTTGTGATCGGCTTGAGGTCTCTTTCTGCTTGTGAATGAACTAGACCAGTCCAACTGACCAACTCTACCTTTTCTGAGGCCTCCTGCTTCAATGAATCTGGAATCACTATAGAGGCCATAAAAAGATCGCTTAGCGAACTGATTTACTAGATCAAGATTGCGGCGGCGATCGCGGTGATCGAGTAGATCGCTGACCAGGCTGCGGAGAAACCAAAAGGCCAAACTAAATTGCCGTTAGTCTTCGCTTTGTAGTCGAGCCGACAAATCAGCGCAATGCGCGCCCATTTATATTTATATCAGCGAGCAATCGACATGATCGCCATCGCCATCAACAGCCCAGAAAAGTGCAGCAGGAAAAGATCGCCCCGAGAGAACACTGGCCTATGAATCACTCTCTCTCTCTCCAGCAATTCGGACCAAATAACATATTCATGAGCCCAGGACTGGCATGTAGCCGCAGCCTCCCTAAGGCCAACACAGGCAGCGTCGAATTATCCGTGGGATTACACTGCTGATCCCCCACAGAATGAAGCACTTTGCTAGATGGGAGCAGGTCAAGGGGGAACAGATATCGAATCTATCCATGGAACTACATTGTTAGGAAGGCCTGTGGCGCAAACTGACTTCCGAATGGCTATTATTGAAAGTTTCTCAAATGATTTAATACATCTTTTCGGCATAATTATCATACATTATTGCAATGCTCAATATATAGATAGTTTCGTATAAAATTCGAAATGGTATTCAATGGTGATCTGAACAGTACAGCAATAGGTAGGCAATGGTGACACACACCACACCCACTGGCCGAGCCGGATCCAGTTTGGGCCCGTGCCGAGAGCTGTTGTCGGGCATTCGGGGGATGATCGGCAGACATGACTCATGACTCAGCGTATCGAATCGCCATTTTTGCGCTGTGCTCTGCCTGATCCTTGTGGCAATCTTCCTGTCCCGCGATCACTGGATACGGAAGCAGAAGGATGCTGTTGAAGTAAACTAAAACAGATAATATATATTGGCAAGGAAATCTTCAATTTTTCGCTGTCCTGCTACTCTTTCCAGATCCTTGATTGGATTTAACTTCACACTTCGGAGGAGGAGGAGGGTTGCAAAGATCGGTTTTATTGTTTCCCCAATTCGTTCCGATTGGGAGAGCCAGGACTGGCGGTGTTCTTGGAGCATATGGAGGATCAGAGTCCTCAATAGCTGCAATGCAATGCAATGGATTGCATCGTGTTACTTATTTACAGCAGATTAGCGACGGCTCTGGTGATCGCATTGTGGCCTGAACTGACCTGGCTGAGCCGACAGCCATCAGCGATCTAAGCACCGAGAACGTAGCCACATCTGCTGCATGGGCAATTGGATGCGGCTCAATGGCATCGCCTCCTACTTGCCACATTAGCACGGTGCATTGTTTTTTGTCGTGCGCCTAATTATTTATGGCGCAGAGCCGCCTGACCAGGAGAAAATCCTCGGCTGGCTGGCTGATGCGGGGCGGGAACAATAAATGAGTTTGAGTAATAAATCTTGTGTATAAGGAGTCGATTTTATAGGCTAAATCAAACCAAAGTCGAAGAATCTATTTCAAGTTACTTAAAAAATAAAATATGTTGTTTTTTGAGGCATATGAAGAAATGAATCAATTAAAATAGAAAAAGTGAACTAATTACTCTGAGGTTTTGACTCTATCTTGGCAATTAATCTAGTAAATCGCCGTGTTTACATTTACCAAAGATAAGTAGGACTTCCATTGATTTAACTTTACACGATACATCGTATTCACATCGTTTTTGGCGACATCTAGTGCCTGAAGCTGCAAAAGGACCTCTTATGGGTAGCACTTTTCAGCAACTTCCTGTTCCTTTTTGAAATCAAATTGGGAATTCAATATTCTGGCCCAAAAATGATGGTATGTTTATGTTGATGACCTCATCCATTCTTTTAGGCTGGCTCTGGCCACGGCTTCCTTAAAACAGCGGCCCTCGGACAATATAATAATTTTATCATGAATGCTCTGTGCAACGCCCACCAGCGACACGCCCCTTGTGCCCAAAGCCCAGAAGAAAATAATAAAAATAAAAATATTAAACAAAAAAACAAGAAAGGAAACTAACTTGGGCACAGCAATGTTTGTATACCCTTGCAGTTTGCTGTTGATGCTTCTCCTTCACTGCGTTGCAAACTTCTGACTGAAATTAAGATACCCTGCATGAGCATAACAAAGAGCGCGGCTGCTCCTCCAATCTTCGAGAGGGGGAGCCCAACTCGTACGTGCTGTCATCGATTGCCAAGGGGCATCGGAGATCGAAGGGAGAAGAGGATTTAGCGGAGTCAAAGGAGCCAGCGCGGAGCCAGAGAATCAAAGCTCCGTCAGGTGATAGAGCTGCAACAGTTTGGGGAAAAGAGCCATAGCCAGAGCCACAGCCGAAGCCCGAGTTCTCGATCCCCCCGACTACATGCCCTAATGTGATTACAGACTTTAAGTTTATAAACATCGAGTGGAGCTGGGGCTGCTTCGGTTTGCTCCTGGTCCAGGCATCCGCGGCCCTCCTGTTGCGTTGCAATTACGGCGCGTGCAGGCGACGCTTGTCCACCCTTCTGCCCTTTATCCTGGTCCGTCCTCGTCCAGCGTCCACCTGGGAGAGTTACCCCTGGCACAGCTTCCCCCTGCTGATCGCCGTTCGCAGCTCTCTGGCCGCTGCTGCGGCACATGATGAATTCTTATTAGCTGTCGTTGGCCGCGGCAACTTCAACCGCTCGGCTTCCTCATAACTTGTGCTCTATTTCTCCACTTTTTGCTCTGCATGCCTTCGGTGGGATCAGAATCTGGATCTCCCCAAAGCTGTGGAATCGCAGCGGCTTGTCTGCGGTCCGTTGTCTGTTTTTGCTGCCTCGCTGTCTGCCTGGTCGATGCCCAGCCACGTATCAGTTGGCTTGGATCAGGCCATGTTTCGTGTTCCTTCACCTGGCCGAGGGCACGCGCAAATCCCTAATGGAATTCGCCCCAAGTTGGACATGTGAGGCGGGGCCCGGAGACTCCTCTCCCCCACCATGAAAGCCCAGTCCATTCGACATAGAGTGTAATTAACACCACTTAAAAACACTTTCTAAGATATAGATACATTTTATTTTAAACAATTTGTTCACCAAATAAGCGTAAGCAATTACAATCACTCGTTGAGGTGGACACCTTCGCCATTCACTTGAATGGTGATCTGGTCACTGTGGCCGCTTCCATCGGCCTCTCTCGCCCGGTGGGGCGGCTGAGGTGCAGCAGGATGCCTGGCCAGGGAGCGCAAGGATATCTCGTCGCTCTCGCGCCTCATGAAGCGACGCCGAGTCCTGGCAAAGTCAAAGGCCTCGCGCTGCCTCTGCCGGGACTGGGCGTAGGAAGCGTCCGTCAGCTGCTGCAGGGTCTGCGAGGAGCTGGTGCGCCGCATCTGGGGGACATCCACCACCGCCTGGAGTTGCGGCTGTCCTTGGACTGCCGACCCCTGCACAGAGGGCTGGCGTTGGCGGCCACCAAAGCATCCGGTTGAGTACCGCCCATCTGCAGATCTAGAGCGCCGGTGGCGGGCCGATTCCCGCGCACTAAGAAGTTGCTGGAAAGGAAATACCTCAAGGACTTACAAATCTGAGCCATTTACTAAAGGGGCAAAGCGTACCTGCTGCATCTCGTCCTTGCGCAGACGTCGCAGACCCTGCTGTTCCTCCAGCTTGTTGCTCATCAGGCTCATCCAGTCGCGGGCTTGCCTCAGCGACAAGGAGCTCTGAGATCGCTCGGGCAATCGGCTGGGGAAGAGCACTTCACGAGCTCCCACCACACTGCCGCTTTCCAACACAAATACCCGAGGAAAGTCAATCACGAAGTCGCGGCTGCGAATGAGATCTGCCAGAGCGCTGGGCCGAGCTGGGGCTTGTGCGGCCACGGGCTCGAGGACAGAGGCGCCGCCTGCTTCCACTATTGCCACCCGCTCTGGCGGGTCTGGCTGATATTCCAGGATGCTCTCCTCGCTGCCTAGAAACTGCAATAAGAAATGTCCTTCTAGTTCTGATTCGGCAGCAGGAAAAACGGTGATACGATCACAAGCAGCTCTAGGAGGCAAGGAAGCGGCGACTCTTGGGCGTTTTAAATTTTCAAAATTCAGTATGTTTATTTTGGTTTGGTTCTTATAAATTTTTGAGTCCACAATTTGTTGAAGGGGCTTAGCAAAGATAATCTATGTATTTTCGGTTATTCTAGCCGATCAACATGGTCTTGTTTTGAGGTTGGTGATTAACTAAGCAAACGATACACGAACACAGATTAAATTACAAAAATAAACCAAAGGCTATAGATATAAAAATACAAATAAACACAGAAAACATAAGGCATTACAACTCAATTTAAACTGAATTCTCTCTCGCTTTATTCAATTTGAACAACTAAAAGCAAATACTTTGGCACCTTTGATATTACAGTAAACACTAATGCATAAAGTGCGCTGAGTGTGCGATCGGTTTGCATATCTACTTATGTTATGTGTGTGTGTGTGTAATCGGCAGAGTTTCCGACCTTTGACTAGCAAAACAGTCGCGGATTTTGCTAAAAATTATTGCATTCAACATTACACCTCTGCTACAGCTATATGATATAGTCATTGTTTATAATTATTGGTATTGGTATAGTATTTTAGGTAGGCATAGTTATTGTAGTACTCTCAAGTAATTTCTCTCGTCTACGTGTTTATCGACAATCCGAACGCTTATATAAAACTTACATTTACCTTAAATCCTAAGCGATTCAAGTTAATTCATAATTCCGTCTTCAAGTTAAACTTCTAGCGGTTGCTTACATACATACGTATAAATGTGCGTGGGGTCTTGTAAAACTAAAATTGAAGTCTTCTTATCAGCACTTTTAAGTACACGGTTCTCAAATTTCTGAGTTTATTTACAAATGAGTGAATGCACCATATTCCCAAAAGCCTTTACGTTATCATTCATCTATATCGGAGCACATTCTCGGAATCTTTCGTCCTTAAACCAGTCATTGCTGTCTCTGTTAAGTCATTCCAGGATATAACGGGATATTGAATCTACGAACGTAAGCATTACCTTAATTCACAATAGAGTATCTCTCACAGTTGGGAACACAATTCAAAAAATATTAATTCGTGGATCAGGCTGATAGGGATCCTCGACTGGCTTCGATGCAGGGCCTTGCCGGAGCAAGGTGAACATTGGTCTGGTTGCTGGGTTCTCAGATCTAACTGGGAGCTATAACCTACTATGCTGCTCCCTTAGGAATACAGCTGTTAGAATGTCGTACCTTAGACTTAGACGTACTTGGGTGGCTTCAGATATCTTAAACATCAGTCACCTGATGGCTGGCAGTACAAATAATAGCGTGCGGCATTGTGGCGGGAGCGGAGTTGCGTCGGCCCCGATCCACCGCCACCTGCTGCTGGTTATGCTGATGCTGCTGATGCTGATACGGGAGCGGCTGTAGCTGCTGCTGGTTACTACTGCTAGGACTACGACTACGCGGAAGGTAATGACTAGGAGCAAGGCTACTGATGGTGCTGGCCTGCAGCTGCTGAAGGGGCTGCTGCCCCTGGCCCTGCGGCAAGGCCACTACAATGACGGGCACCACCTCCTCGATGGAGGGCTGCTGCTGCTGCTGCTGGGCAACAGCCACGGCGGCAATGGGGGCTGTGTGTTGCGGGCTGGGTGTTTGATAGATTTGGTCACCCACCACATATCCGTAGAACTTGAGCACGTCGAGCTTGCACATGGGACAGGTTCGGTGCTCGATTAGCCACGGATCGATGCAGTTTTTGTGGAACTCGTGCCTGAAAGGATGTATATGATTAGTCTTCTTCTATGGAACCCTTTGGAGCTAGTCCTTACTTGCAAGGCAATATCCGAATGGTGTCCGTCGGCTTGTAGGCCTCAATGCATATAGCACAGCAGTCGCTGTCCAAGTCCTTCTCGTCGCTGATCTTCCCCGTCTTCGTTGGTATCTTCATGATGGCCTTTTTGGTGACAGAGCAAAGATTGCGCTGCGAAAAAAAAGGATGCATTAGTCTATTTGAAGGAATTATTAGTCAGCTCACTTACCGATTGTTGGTCCTTCGCCTGCATGTACCGGAACCGCTGAATATAGTAGAAGATGAGCCAGACCAGCGAGATAATCATCAGCACAATGAAGGATATGGACACGAATAGCACTGACGTTCTAAACAGAAAAAACAAGAATGGTATTAGATAAATTTGCTGCAATAGAAAAATAAGTCTCTGAATCAAGAAGAAGATTTTAAGAAGAAAATTATTATTTTTTTTTGTATTAAAATCAACGTTTTTTTCCAGTGTAACACTGCTTTAAGGAAACTGCTTGGACTAAACTGCTTGCTATCGACGTCATAGTGCGACACTGCTTTACCGACATATAGTCAAGTAAGGCCTTTGGCCGGAATGCTGCCGCCAGGGGACGTAGCTCAGTGGTAGAGCGCTCGCTTCGCATGTGAGAAGTCCCGGGTTCAAACCCCGGCGTCTCCATTTGAGCAAGAATTTTTTTTTATTTGTCCTTAACAAAATTAATTTCTAATCTAATTTAAAATGCCAAACTTTTAAAAAACAAAATTATAAAATTTGTTGTACCAAAAAAACATTTTTTTTTCTAATTATTATTATCCAATATTTCCAACATTTCTCTTTATAAGTAAAGAGCATACAAGATTCGGCGAAAAGAAAATAACGATTAGCTTAAAAATCTAGTTCTCTCTAGTTAGAACTTTGTCATTGCGTTTGCACAAGGGGACGTAGCTCAGTGGTAGAGCGCTCGCTTCGCATGTGAGAAGTCCCGGGTTCAAACCCCGGCGTCTCCAATTGCTTAAACGGTTGTTTTTTTCTGTTTATACTTTTTGAATATTTTAAGATTATTGCAAGTATTTTCCTAATATAACATTGTTTTTCAGTGACGATTAAAACAAGAAAAAGACTTCTTTCTGCCTGACAGCATTATATGAGAAAATATGTATGTTAATTTTGTAAGCCAAAATGATTGTAGAATATTTCGAGTCTGGATAATTCAAATTTGCATTTATTGATTGCTAATTTAGTACCCATGTTAAACAATTACGTTAAACCCACCGGAGTGCATGGGGACGTAGCTCAGTGGTAGAGCGCTCGCTTCGCATGTGAGAAGTCCCGGGTTCAAACCCCGGCGTCTCCATGTTCGCGATAAGGATTAATTGATTTTTGCCTTTTGTTATAAAAAAGGAAAATATAATTTTTCTTCTCTAGTAAAATAAAAATATCTAATGATAAGCAAGAAATGCTAACCACACGCAGGCTCTGCGTGTAAGTCATATGAGGAATTAAGGATAATATTGTCTTAGTGATTGTTTTTTTTTTAGAAACTCACCGATTTAAGCTGCTGACAGTGCGAACTCCCCGCCTACCCTCGATAATGGAAATTGTCACGTTGTAGCCCTGATCAAGCGTCATGGCCAGGTCCTGTCCAATATTCTGATATGTTATGACCGCAGCTATGTTTCCTGCGTGAACAACAATTCACTTAATTAGTAGGCCCCAGCTAAGCTAGCCTGACAACGACCAAACTTACTTGTCTTGCCCTTGATCTGCATCTTCTCCAGCTGCATCACCTGCTTGTCATTGTAGATAATGACTCCGGCGGCGTTTTGCTGGTAGACATGCTTGACCTTTTCCTCAAAGGTGCAGCGTCCACGCCGAACCAAAGCAATCCAGGTCACGCCCTTTACGGGTATGGCGGCTCCCATGGTGCCCCTGATGTAGGGCGTGCAGGCAAAATCGTCGTTGACATTGTCCGTGGCGCTGATGTGCACCAGATGCCCAGTGATGTTCAGCACCTTCCCCTCCCCGTAGCGAGCCTGCTCCTGCGGAAAGTCCATGCTGCACAAGATGTTGCTGTGATCCACGTAAGACCAGTTAAGGAAGGCATAGTTGTAGACATCCACTGCAATACGGTCCTCGATGCCGGCAAAGCTGTGGGTGCCGTTCCCCGGCCTAAAGTAGCGCTCCAAGTCCTGGTTGGCGATGGACATGGCAGCCACAAGAGTGGTGGTTGTGGTGGTGGACGTGAGATGCGGCAGCCCGCCAAACAGCAGCACCAGGCAGGCCAGCAATAGCATTTCCCGTAAGTACATGACGCGGGCGGGGATGGGCTTTATTCCAACTAATCACAATCACAATGGCGCTTGGCCTGAGCGAGCGTATTTTTGCAACTGAAACGAAAAGGCCAGATATGAGTGTTAGAGCGATGTGGCTATCGGCGTTCCGATAAGCTTCGGTTCCAATATTGAAAAGCCAGCCCAGTAGTCATTTATTAGCGTTTATTTTAATACTGTTTTATTGGGGCTGCTGTCTAACCCGATAAGCAGTATTGCGCACCAGCTCTGATACCTCTTTTCCTTAGTACAGAATGAGATTGCATTTAAAATATGTTTTCCACATTAATACTCATTGTAAAAACCATATCCAGAGCCAGAAATACAAACACAAGCACACATATGCAGCTCTTGAGCTCTCAGAGGTACGCAAAACCGACCTGAAGGCCAGGATGGAGCGTGGGCGAGCGACTGACATTGAAAAGTGGTTCGTTCGGTGGGACATGAAACGCGAATCTGGTTCGGACGGCAACTGGCCCAAGTCGGAATACAAAAGGGACAATTTGCATATGGATAGTCGTCTTTCGCTGAAGCCCAGACATGGCCCAAGACACCTACTCGGATTTCACTTTTGGCTCTTCAAGGTACTCTCATAAATAACACTTTATGCACATTCTGTTGGGTTATCCGTAACTAGAGGAAAGTGCCTTGCCAGAATTAAATTTAAGTTTGAAAAAAGTGGTTTCTCGTTATGTGGTAATGCATTTGTTTTGTTATTTTTAACAATCTGTGGTGGCAGATACGAGAGAATGCCGCCGCAGCCACAGAACGTGTTGCTTATTTAGGGTAATGACCCTGACAGTATCTGCCAAAAGTGTGCATTCAGCACCAATATATACCTATTGCTAGTCAATATCTGAACGCTTTATAGAGATAAAACTGCTTAGTAAATGTAGTTTTTTAATAAGCTTTATTTAGATAAATTCCTAAAATTTGTTATTATTTCCAGACCTTTTGTAGAATTTTCAGCAACGAGCCACTGTACTCACGAGTGGACCGAACCGAACGTGGGTGTGCCCCTGGGGAATCGGCCCGAAACGGCTTTGCACTCTCGTTAGGCGAGATATGGAGCCAATATGTGGGGGACAGTCGAGGGAATTGTCCAGTAATCGGAACAGCTTAATCATTTGCTTGCATTTCGCAATTAAAATTCCCGGTGCTGACCTTGGTGAAAGAATCCAGTGAAATTAACATCATTATTTAATTTATTTCTTATTTTATTTGTATAAAGTCAGTGGTTTGCGCTTAGGTGATTTTGTTTACTTTTGAATGAACAATCAATTCGGAGGCGCATGTTGCGGCTATTGCACTTCTTTCTGTTTATTTTTAAAATCCGCTTTTATTATTTTGGCCATTTGCCAGCGTCCAACGAATCGGCTTTGCATACAAATAATATATATACAATATATACACCCACACACTTGAGGTGTTTATTTCTTTTGTTGTGCGACTTGAGCCATTTCTAATAAATTTCATTGTTTACTGCTTTCATTCAAGCAGATCCACAGGTGGCTTTGTTCTCAGTTAAATCGTCTGAGAGTACATTTTATATATATTTTATTCTCTATATTTTATGTACATATGTAGAAAAGCACAAAGAAATAGATGCCGCACATAGAAAACAAAAAACTATCAATAAAAAAAAAAGGTAAAGCTAAAAATAATATGCAGACACATCGAGATTAGCATATTTTATTTGTTTCCTTTGCGAAACGTGATTCGCTTAAACGTGTCTCGAGTGATAATCGCATAGCAATAATTTATTTATGTTTATTAGTAGTGGCTGACCAGAAGCTATGGCTTGAGGGAATACGAAATATATCCAACAGAAAACTAGGAAATTTTACTATAATTTTGTATAAATTTACAAGGATGTGGCTGATAGAATAAAGTAACAAAATCTGCATAATTATTATGTAGTTTTTCTTATCCTAAAGTTGACTTATTGGTCTAAAAAATAGAACGGAAGCGGAATACAGCAATCTGTATAACATTTCAATACGATTATAACAGTATTTAAGTTCCTTGAATTCCAATTTTTGATTGTTTGTTGTGTTATTAATAATTTATTTCTTTGAAATTAATCGATGAATGATTAACAGGGTATTCAGAGATCTGCTTAACCCAAGAAGGCTTACCTATTGTTTTTATTTCAAACCAACAACAACAACGGAAGTTTTTTCCACATTAGCGCATCTACCTGGAATGTAAACAACGTTTGATTTAACGTGTCAGTGACTTTGATGCATTTCAATGCGCTCTGTTGGGCCTAAAGCATTTCCACTACACTTCAAGCCGACTTTATACAGTCGGGATCATCACAATGGAAACTTACAACAGGTGCGTGGAATTGTTTGGACAACTGTAATGGCACACCGATTATCAGCTTAATTTATTCAGCCCGATATTGTAGCTGTATGTATTTATTGTTGCGCACAACACAATGACTATTACAAAAAGCCAGCAATGATTGTAATTATTATTGCAGCCGAACAAGAGATGCAAAAGCCAAAAGAAAAATGGAATGGAACAGCAATTAGCATGTGGAAAGCAGACGGAATTATCCAGAGTTTTAATTAAATTTGCGTCACTTAACTTCGCAACTGGAGCAGATCATTTCAGATTTACTTTAACATATAGGTTTTTCATGTAATTTTTCTAGGGAACTTGATTCCTTTCGAGTACAGTCCTTATCAATTGAAATATGGATCTGTTCTGGAAACAGGGTATTCTAAAAATGTACATATGTTTGTCACTGCATTCCAGGGATTTTAGAACTAATTGGGAACTAACCAAACGGCGAGAATCAGAAAAAACGTACTTAAATTTGATAAAAATATAAATATTAAGCTTGAAAAATTGTATTCAATATGGCTTGCCTTGATTTGCTTTATCACAGCGGAGCAGTTCCCCGATCTACTCTCTCTGTGGTCTCTCTGATTTGCTTGGAAATGGAAATGATTCTGCCTGTCCGGAGTCCGGAGCAGCACTCCAATTCACTCCTCCCGCCTCCTGTGGGTCTCTGGCCAGCCAGCAGGGCCACCTTGTACTCGGTGACGTTGCTGGCGGTGGCTGCTGCTCCCCCGCTTGTTTGCATATTGCAACATCTGTGCAAGCGAGAGCAATTTAAAACATACGCCAGCACATGTTGCCACAAACATTCTGATATTCTTTTGTGAATACGTACGTACGTATATATGTATATATAAATAAGTGATATGCCTCTGTGTGTGCGTGGACCCACCCACGCACACCACGACGAAGCTCTCAGTCCTCTGTTTTATACGCTTCTAAAAATATTACCCGCCACACATTTTTCAACTTGGTGTTTCGACTCCTCGACGCGATGCTTGAACTTCAATTTGTCATGCCCGGAGCTCCCGCACATAAATTATTTACCTCACTTGGTGCTGGCTAATTGCTCGAATATTTGGGACTCTTTCAAAATTCTGTTTTTGTAATATTTTTTAAGGAAATTTACGCAATGCAAGGTAAAAAGAATCTCTAAAGATTGGGGATAAAAAATATAAATAAAAAGTTTAGACCCTGATAAAAAGAGGTCATTATTTAAGCGTAATATGTAGTACTTTAAGAGCTCTCGACCAGCAAGCAATGTCTTAAATTGCTTGTTTTATTTTGACACAAGTTCGAGTACCCCGAGGAAAGCAAATAAAGTAAAAGTTCAAATGGAGCTGTTGAGACTTCCTCTTGAGTTTTCCGAACTTCGGAAGCTGGAACTTCTTGGCTCATCGAGCCTGTATGGGAATGATGGCTACAATTCATGTTCAGAAAAGAGAAAAGTTCAAAGCAAACTTCATCGATAGAATTGCCTCACAGCTTCTAATTACTTGCCAGCTGTTGAGAGAATTTAGCCATTAAAGAAGCCCCTCCCCCGGTCCCTCAATTTCCTCACTTTTGCTTTCAATTGTTTCTGCCCCGAGGGAACGGGCAGCAGCTCTCTTGTCTCTTGGCCGTCTGCCCAATTCGCAGTGCTCGTTTCCACTTGGCAAGTGCATTTTAATGTCACTCTCGCTGCAAATTATCTTGCTGCCATTCATCAGGGCTGGCTCCACAATCCCCACTATCCACTATCATTGTGCTATTTCCATGTCATCATCGTTGTCATTGTTACTGGCGATAGCAGCCATAAATGGTTCAAAATGGATTCTGGCATGGCTCATGCTCCACTCCGCTATTCAGAGCAAGGACACCCGAAAAATAACTTGGGTTAATGAGACCGATATATATTTTGGAGGCGAAATTCAAGACTAATTCGTAAGGCCTTGGCCAACTCATTCGTCTTGGACTGGGAAACGTTTGTGTTACATTTTACTCTTATTGGCATTCTCTATAGCTTTGGACTGGGTCCAAAAAGGACTCTCTTCGAATTGTTGCCATAATGCGGTGCATACTTGTAAATATTTATGATGCACTTTGCTTTACGACACGGCGACAAAACCAATAAAAGCCCTGCAGCAGAGACGAGGACTGGGGAAACCTTCTCCCAAAGACATGTCTCTAATAAAATGCATCTGGCTGGCTGGCTGCTAGAGTGCAGGTAGCAATGCAGACACGACCATAAAAATATTAACACCCGCTACTTGGGAGCCACGACGCTCTCCCCACAGTCACGTTTCTGGGCGTTGGGATGGGTGAAAAGCTACAAATACCGCTACGGCGCACTATCCAGTTGATATTCTTCTTGTGTTGTGTTTGTCGGGGGGTCAGAGGAACAGAGAACAGAGAACATGTGTAAGCCAGCGCCGGCAACGACGTCATAAATCTTTACACACCTTCGCCGTACTGTCCACCCACCAACCAACCCGCCTCGTGGCCTCTTGGCCACATGCACCCCTTTCGTTTGCTGCCGGACGGAAGCAGACTTGGATCGGCTTTTTTCAAGCCCCCTTTAGCCCCATCCTGTTGGCCCATTCAACCATTCATTAGCCACTTGAACGTCAGCAGTGTAAAAACGTGATTTCCGCTATTTGCTGCTAGCACTAACACTGTACGAGTATAATTGTTTAGACCGATTTCGGTTATTTGGTGTTCGATTCATTTTTGGAATTTTCAAATGGCCCCGAAGAGCATCACTTGGGCGAGATTTATCCGTGACTGATCCCAGACATGTGTCTGGTTGTCGTTTCCTCACCTTCCTCCGCCTCACCTTATTAGTCTGGCTAAGATATTACTTGGTTACTTTAATTCTTATAAACAATGAATGTTCTTCGAAGTTCAAGTGACTGCTGTGATTGCTGGCGCCACAGGAACACAGAGTCCTCCTCAAAGCAGATGCGACGAGAGCCCCCAAGGAACACCTGCCAGGCGGCGTATTCCACAATGAGGGGAAATTCCCCTTTTAAGAAGAAATTAGGTAGAAACAAGAAAGAAAGCTAACTTTGACCAGCCAAAGTTTGTATACCCTTGCAGGTGACAATTAAAATATATCATAACTAAGCCAAAAATGCATTAATTTCGATTCGGAAAGCAGTTTCGTGTTAGTTTTTATTAATTTAAAAAAACTGCATACCAAATTTAAAATTTTAAGAAATCAAAATTTTTGGCCATTTTTGCTAATTTTAATGATGTAACCCCTTATCAAATTTTGCGAAAATGGCCAAAAAATCGATTTCTTCCTGACATATATAGAAAGATTCCCCTGTTGATGCTGATCAAGAATATATATGGTTTATAGGGTCGGAAACGTCTCCTTCACTGCGTTGCAAACTTCTGACTGAAATTATAATACCCTGCAAGGGTATAAAAAAGACGTTTTTTTAGTTACTATACTAGGCCAAAACAAAAAACTACAGCAAAATAATTTTTGAGGGGATAAAAGTCCTGAGAAGTGGAAATCTGAATTGAGGCGTGGGGACACGAAATCATTATAGTGGAAACACTGATTAAAAGTAGCTTTTTAATTATCGATAGTTTTAGCTAGTCATCGATCGTCTTCAAGTGCCATCAATGACAGTTCTGTCATCTCTAAGTTTGTGGTCCTGTAAAAACGCGTCTTTTGTGAAAACTTTTGTGATAAAAATTTGTTTAGAGCTTGTGTTTATTCGGTAAGTTAATAAGTTTTGTGGTTTTCGTAAGTGTGCCGGGAGTGCTAAACTGTATTGATTTAACGCAATGGACAGGTCACATCCTCAAGAAGAAGCCCCATTTGGTCTGCTTCCCTACTTCCCCCTCCCCTGTGCCCCCATTCCCAGAGCTTCCGTCATTTTTTAGCTGTTGCTGTACGCCAAACTCTAATTCTCGGGCACACAAATCCTATTAAATAACCTGCAGTACCATTCATCAACGTTTCATCAATAGCCGAAGCGTTTTGTTGATGATTCATCGATGAATCGCCGTACAAACTATTGATGATTTTAACATGGGCATGTCATAGGCTTTCATCAACAGAAATTCATCAACATTCATCATCATTTCATCGATGTATTGTTGATGAAATACTGATGAAAGGCTGATGAATTGTTGATGAAAAGGCCTATTGATGAAATGTACTGCAGGGTTGTGCGTGCATGGGAGCAAGAGGGAAGCTATGTACAGCTGTGTTCACGGAAATAGCAGTGCCCAACGACCTGCACGTTTAAGATCGGAAAATCCTGTTACAAACACTATTTTCATAAATTTTTTTTTCATAAAAGCTTAGTATATTTAATTATTAACAATACCACAATCATTTAATTTAGGTAACATAAACCTTTTAGAAGATATAGCTAATAACAACAAAAAAGGTCTATATTATGCCGATCATTGAAATAGCAGTGAAAAACTAAAATTCTTCATAAATTTAAAAATATCGTATAAGAAACCTATTTCTTCTTAAATTCCAATTGACTATGATCTAATTTTTTGTTAAATAGCCTTTAGAAGCTATCATAGCCTCATACCTGGGTGGCAAGGAGTCCACCAAGTCTTAGCAACGCTTGAGGGGATTATGGTCTCATTCCTCCTGCACAAATCGCCAAAGCTGCGGCTTAGAAGTCGGAAACTTCTTTAATACGTAGCCCTTGATGTCCCCCATAAGTTTTCGATCGGATTTATATCCGGGGACTGTGCAGGCAATGGCATTGCATCCACTTTTTCATTAAGAACCCACTCCTTGGCCACCTTGATGGTATGATTAGGGTCGCTGTACTGCTGAAATGTCCAAATTAATGGCATATTTTCATCAGGATACGACTGTAAGAC